GTGGAAGGGAGGGGGGAAAAGGGAGGGGTTAACAGTGATGGTTGCAGAGCCAATTATTATAATTGCTGTCAATAAGTTGTACATCTTTAAAAGTTGAACTGGCAAAAGTTGTGTGATAATATATTTATAACAATGACACACACACACACACAAAGAATAGCTGCTGAGGCTGCTTATGTACAACCAAACACCCTATGGGATTTGGTCCCTTGGTTTGGAAGTTTAGGGTCACGGTTTCATGGGACATCCCAGTTAACTGGCCTAAAAACACGTTTAGTGCTTCTGTTCTACCTCCTAGTTTGTTAAGTAGTGCCTGGGGTCTTAAAAGCTTTCCAAGCAGACATCCAAGGCACAAGTGGTCTCTATTTGCCTGGAGCAACAGAGGAAGAAGGTGAGTCAGGAATAGGAGGAGGCTATGGAATGTGCGTCAAGTAGCTAAAGCAAAAGGAAGAAACGATGAAGTAAAAGAGCTGAATAGAAGATTTCAAAGGGTGGCTCGAGAAGACAAAGTATTATAATGACATATGCAAAGACGTGGAGATAGAAAACCAGGAGGGAAGAACACGCTCAGCATTTCTCAAGCTGAAAGAACTGAAGAAAACATTCAAGCCTCGAGTTGCAATATTGAAGAATTCTACGAGGAAAAGATTAAATGACGCAGAAAGCATTAAAAGAAGATGGAAGGAATACACAGAGTCACTGTACCAAAAAAGAACTGGTCGACTTTCAACCATTTCAGGAGGTAGCATATGACCAGGAATCTATGGTACCGAAGGAAGAAGTGCAAGCTGCACTGAAGGCATTGGCAAAAAAAGAAGGCTCCAGGAACTGAAGGAATGCCAATTGAGATGTTTCAACAAACGGATGCAGTACTGCAAGTGTTCACTCATCTATGCCAAGAAATTTGGAAAACAGCTACCTGGCCAACCGACTGGAAGAGATTTGTATTTATGCCTATTCCCAAGAAAGGTGATCCAACCGAATGTGGAAATCATCGAATATCATAAATATCATATACAAGTAAAATTCTACTGAAGATCATTCAAAAGCAGCTGCAGCAGTATATCGACAGGGAACTGCCAGAAATTAGAGCCGGATTCAGAAGAGGACATGGAACAACGGATATCATTGCTGTTGTCAGATGGCCAGGCTGAAACCAGAGAATACCAGACAGATGTTGACCTGTGCTTTATTGATTATGCAAAGGCATTCAACTGTGTGGATCATAACAAATTATGGATAACATTGCAAAGAATGGGAATTCCAGAACACTTAATTGTGCTCATGAGGAACCTGTACATAGATCAAGAGGTAGTCGTTCAAACAGAACAAGGAGATACTGCATGGTTTAAAGTCAGGAAAGGTGTGCATTAGGGTTGTATCCTTTCACCATACATATTCAATCTGTATGCTGAGCAAAATATCCAAGAAGCTGAACTATACGAAGAAGAATGTGGCATCAGGATTGAAGGAAGACTCATTAATAACCTGCAATATGCGGATGACACAACCTTGCTTGCTGAAAGTGAAGAGGACTTGAAGCACTTACTGATGAAGATCAAAGACCACAGCCTTCAGTGTGGATTACACCTCAACATAAAGAAAACAAAGATCTTCACAACTGGACCAATAAGCAACATCATGATCAATGGAGAAAAGACTAAGGTTGTCAAAGATTTCATTTTACTTGGATCCATAATTAACACCCACAGAAGCAGTCGTCAAGAAATCAAAAGATGCACTGCATTGGGCAAATCTGCTGCAAAAGACCTCGTTAAAGTGTTGAAAAGCAAAGATGTCACCCTGAAGACTAAGGTGCGCCTGATCTAAGCCATGGTGTTTGCAATCGCCTCGTATATATGTGAAAGTTGGATGATGAATAAGGAAGACTGAAGAAGAACTGACGCCTTTGAATTGTGGTGTTGGCAAAGAATATCGAACATACCATGGACTGCCAAAGGAATGAAAAAAATCTGTCTTGGAAGAAGTACAACCAGAATGCTCCTTAGAACCAAGGATGGTGAGACTATGTCTCACATACTTTGGACATGTTATCAGGAGGCATCAGTCCCTGGAGAAGGATATCATGCTTGGTAAAGTAGAGGGCCAACGAAAAAGAAGATCCTCAACAAGACGGACTGACACAGTGGCTGCAACAATGAGCTCAAGCACAACGATTGTGAGGATGGCACAAGACCAGGCAGTGTACACAGGGTCGCTATGAGTCAGAACTGACTCGACAGCACCTAACAACAACAACAACATGGAATGTGTGGCTAATTGCCTGCATGAACAACTGCCTTCTTTGTCATGAGATCAGAAGAACTAGATGATGCCCGGCTACCATTACTGAACACTTCGATCAGATTCCATAGAAGAATCCTGACCAAAAGGGGAGAAATGCAAAACAGAATTTACAACTGTCATGGACTCTAGACTTTCTGGAGCCATGGAAGGTGGATGAACCCCTGAAATTATTGCCCTGAGATAATCTTTAAACCTTAAACCAAAAATATTCCTGAAGTCATCTTAAAACCGAATAATACCCGTTGCCACTGAGTCAATTCTGACTCATAACAACCCTATAGGACAGAGTAGAACTGCCCCATAGGCTTTACAAGGAGCAGCTGGTGGACTTGAAGTGCCAGTCTTTTGGTTAGCAGCCAAGCTCTTAATCACCACGCACCACCAGGGCTCCAAAACCGAGCGATAGTTTAGCTTAACTAGTAAAAAAGCTCTGCCTTGAGCATTATGCTCTTTTAAGAACTATCTACACGGAATCAAATAGACAACAACAACTCAAAAGATTAGATAGGAACCTTAGGGGGCAGTGAGTTTATGTTAATGAGGAACGACTCAAAAGAGGGTGAGAATTGTTGCACAACGCGAAGGATGTAATCAATGTCACCAAGTTGTAAGTGTAGACACTTTTGGTCTATGTTTTGCTGTGTATATTCTCAACAACAACAAAATAAATAAAGTTTAGAAAAAAATAAATAAGTACTGCAAAACTGAAACTATGATAATAAATCCTAGCTCAGTGGTTCTCAACCAGGGGCAATGTTGCCCTGCAGGGGACATCTGGCAATGTCTGGAGACATTTTTGATTTGTTATGCCTGGGAGATGCTACTATCATCTAGTGGTTAGAGCCCAGGGATGCTGCTAAACATCTGACAATGCACAGAACACCTCCCCCAACAAATAATTATCTGGTGGAAAACGTCAGTAATGCCAATGTTGAGAAATCCTTTCCTAGCTAAACATGGTAGCTGCCACGGGCCTGGAGTCTAAATTTCTAACAAGCTGCCAGGTGATGCCCAACACTGCCGGGCCCACGGACCACACACTGAGTAGAAAGGACCTTTTACATATAGCCCCTTGCAGTATTCCCCTTAATTAAGCCTCACCAAAACCCTTTAAAACCCTTTGATATAGATCCACTATTATCCTTGTTTTCCTGATGAGGAAATTGAAGCATTGAGAGATTAGTAACTTGCCAAAGGCCACACAGCTATTACAGAAACCAGGCCAAAAGACTCCTAAGTTTGTGCTCTTTCTTAATCACTCTACCATACTCCCTCAAGGCACAGAAGTCCTGGTCCAAGGTCTGCATCCTCCTCCCCTGTTATGGATTGAATTGTGTCCCCAAAATATGTGTGTTGTAAATCCTAGGCTCTATGCCTGTGGTTGGAGCCCTGGTGGTGGAGTGTTTAAGAGCTCCAAAAGGTCAGCAGTTCGAATCCACCAGCTGTTCCTTGGAGGCCTATGGGCCAGCTCTACTCTGTCCTATCCGGTTGCGCTATGAGTCTATGAGTCAGAATCTACTCCACTGGCAATGGGTTTGGTTTTGTTTTTGGTATGTCTGTGCTTATAATCCCATTTGGGAATGGGTTGTCTTTGTTATGTTAATGAAACAGGATTAGTGTGGGGTGTATCTTAAGTCAATCCCTTTTGAGATATAAAAAGAGATTAAATAAGCAACAGAGAAGCAAGCAGAGAAGGGGGAAGAGATGCCAATCCACATGAAGATCACCCAGGAGAAGAAGCTCAAAAGAGACAAGGACCTTCCTCCAGAGCCGACAGAGAGAGAAGCCTTCCCCTAAAGTCAGCGCCCTGAATTCAGACTTCTAGCCTCTTAAACTGTGAGAAAATAAATTTCTGTTAAAGCTACCCACTTGTGGTATCTCTGTTATAGCAGCACTAGATAACTAAGACAACC